GACAAGTGTGGAGTTGAATATTATATCCCAGAATTCAATCTGGAAGATAGAACCACAACAGAAGAAAGATTAAGTACAGGAGCGTGAACTGATGAAACAGCATTCTCTGACTTGACGAAAATATTGCTGCTTTTCTTCTAAACTTTGTTGTCCAGTTATAAGGATTTTTTTCCTGTCTTGAGCTGTTAATAGGTTCATGTACCTACTATTTGAACAGAATACTAATCTATTTCTATGCTTACTTTTCAAAGAAATAGCCTTACCAGTTCAAAACTGCTTTTCTTGAAATTACCAGCTAAACTTGCAATTGAAAGGAGTTTGATTACTTATGACATTATGTGATCAACAAAATGTTGGGGGAAAAGGAATAGAAGACAACTGTAGAAAGCAAAGATAGTGTAATAAGACATTGGGAAAGGGCAGAGGGTCAGACGTGGGGTGAAAAATATATATGTATATGAAACTAGAAATGGAATATTATAGTTGACAACATGCATGATTAAGCCACTATTTCTAGATGGTAAACTTCATTTAGTATGTTGTGAAGATGCCCAGGGAATGAATGTAAATTAATTAATTAAAAAAAATTTTTAGAAAAAAAAAAACTAAAACTGTTCTTATAAAAATAAAAAAAAATGTGAATTTAATGAAACAGCAGTAAACTATATAGCCCCCAGGTAGGTACTACTTTTTAGAATGTTCATTCTACTCACTGAGGTTTATGCCTAAAGTCTGACTTGGGTTCATGTATATGTATATGTCAGCTGCACTTGCTATTGGAAATATTTAGACTAATTAAGTTCATTAGCAAATCAATTAAATGGGGGGGGGGAGGAAGGCAAAGAAAGCAACCATGGATACCAGAGACAATGTGGGAGGAGGGTGGGGAAAGGTAGAGGGTGAGGGATAGGGAGTCAAGGGTGGCAGAAAAAAACAAAGCAAAATATAGAGGACATTAGAAATGGAAAATTATTTGTTGATAACACATATGTTGATGTGCTTGATTGATCAAATATACAGTGTATTGTGGATAGAAAATTCATTTTGTAGGCTGTAAAGATGTATAGTGAATTAATGTAAATAAATAAATTTAAAGAAAAAAATATTTGACAAAATACAACATCCCTTCATGAGTAATATTCCCAGCAAAAATGACATAGAAGGGTAATTTTCAACATTATAAAAGCCATACATGAAAAACGTATACCTAACTTATTAAATGGGAAAAAGCTGAAAGCATTTCCACTAAAAACTGGTACAAGAGAAGGTTGTACCACTCCTTTTCAATATAGTGCTGGAAATCCTAGCCAATGCAAACAGAAAACAAAATAATATAAAATGTATTCAAATAGGG